AAATATATAAATAATTTTTTTTCATTTAAAGGTTAGTTTTCAAAAAAATTGAATTAGAAAATTCGCTGATTACAATTTTAACTATAAATGTTTTAATCTCGATTTTCTTAAAAATAAAGATATAAGTGATAAAATTCAATTCTACATTTTTTTGTTTATTTTCAGATTGAATTATTAATTCTTATTAATAATTTATCATCTAATTGGAAAAAAGTCATTTGTATTTTTTTAAATCTGATTTTTTTAAAAATCAAGAAAATAAAATTTTTTATTAATATTATTTAAATTAATAATTTTTAATTTATTCTAAAATATTTTATCTGCAATATTATTATACTTTTATCTTCTAAAGTATAATGATTAAAAAAAAAATATATATTTACGTAAAAATTTATAGAATATCTTTTCATTTTTTTAGTAATTTTTAGTTTTATAATAGAGTTTTAAATATATATATTCAATTATATCATTTATTAAAAATTATGTTCTAAAAATATTAAAATGTGTGCAAAAATTCTATAAATATAATTCTTATTTTTAAATATCTATTTTAGTTTATATTACTACTTTTTTCCAATAAAAATTAATAAATATTAATTATTTATAATTATTATCAATTTATTAAATATTGAAAAATTAAAATGGTAATAAAAGAATACGTACCAATGCCTATTATGAAGAAGCGGCATGTAGAATAAAGTAAGAAAGTCATTAATTAATTAAAATGAGTGATATTTTATATTAATAAAAAGGAATAAGAAAAGATGCTGTAAATTTATTGTTGATGATTCGTTTAAGATTAATTAACATAAAATAATGTCCAATATTAAAAATGCAATTTTTAATAAGTTATGAAGGAATTATCTATATGTATTTTTTTTATATTAATAAACTTGAAATGCAAAATTTCTGTAAACCTGAGAGTTTAATAAGAAAATCTAATTAAATTTATTACACATATAATTATGAAAAATATCATATATTAAAAATATATATTAAAATATATTAAAAATATTTTATTTAAATAATCATGTTATATGAATTTTCATTGACAACGAGTAACAATAGATAATTTCTAGCTAAAAATTATTAATCTATCAAAGAAATATTGTTTTTTAAAATTATATATTTATTTTTTCTTTATTTATTTCATATATTAAATTAAATTTATTAAACTTCAT